TCTTCTTAGGAAATAGGGGGAAAAGAGGTTCATTTGGGTGAGGGTGTATCATTAATTATCGGCCGCATCGTTCCAAACATGGTTGCAAACCATCATGACTCAAGGACAATGTCGCATATTTGAAATAGACAAGGACGAAAGACCCTGTGGGTCAAAAATATGAACTATTTTCCCACTAGACCCTCCTAAATTAATTTTGAATCTGACTGCTTTTCACTTATTCCTTCTGGGCTGGATTAAGAAATGCGTAGAGCAGCAAAGTTAACAGCCCAAAATATACTTAAGAATTAACAAAACGGGCGCCGTTTTTCTTGTAATCCAAGTAAGTTGTCTCAATTCCATGAAGAAACTTTTTTCCTTAAAGGCTGCAAGGTGTCCAACAACCATACCAATGTTCATTACACTTTTCAGCTCAAATTTCTAACAAATATCTACCCCTAGATTTACCTCTTTTCAATTTTAAGTTAGTTAAAATTATATGAACCTTGGCAACAAAGAAAGGTTTTTGATTTGCCTTTCGGAGATTTGGGTCGCGTAAATGGATTTTCATTTCCACAAGTTTTGCAAAAGAAGAGAACATTAACTTCACATTAATTTTAAGTGGCTAGACGTCTTACACGTACACGGGGTGGCACGAGAAGCAGATACAAACCAAGAGTTCAAAAGAAGCGCTATTTTCAGTCCGCACGTCCTGTCTAATCGTATGGAAGCTAAAGAAGTTCAAATAAGTCAATATTTCAAAATTACCGAAAAATACCAATTTTACCGGGGTCTCCGTAAAATACGGTATTTTACCGTATTATACCGTTCTTTACCGGTAATATTACCGGCCTTTACATCCCTATAGACAACCAACTATATATATGATTAGTGATGGGATTTAATGAGACGATTCCTTTAACTTCACCAAAGTTAATATAACTGATACTACTTAGTATTGATCACATGAGTAAGATAAATTATGTCGGTTCATTAAGCCTTGGGTAGCCTTAGCATTGGTCTCTATGTGACGAAACACTGGATTTGACAATAATTGGCCCCCGCTAACTGGTTCAGATCAGCCTACCCTGAACTGACTCTCTCAATATTAACTGTGATAACATATTCCAATCAATATTGTTTTATTCACTGGTTCACAATGAAAGAATGACAAAATGTTTTATAAATATTACTTATAAAATTGTGAGTTCATAAGTTAAGAAAAAATAGTTATCGAATAGTGACCCAAGCATACGAGTAGCCAATAAAGCGATTGAATGCTGGCAATTGAATTTTACTCGACTGAGGGATTTGCTTTGGTGTGCCATCAGGGAATTGGTGACGACAGAGGGTGCTTCATGAAGACAAATAGAAACAACATACAGAAATTGCGTCTAAAGTATTGTGTGTAGTTTTCAGTGTACCGGTCACAAAAACTTCATTTATTTCAACGCCAATCCTACATTTTCATCTAGAGCTACGCAATTTGGGGCCAAACTTTCCAAGATGAGATTTATGTGTTTCCCTGTATTTTTCAGTGCGCTGACCTCAATATTGACCGCTAGAGAACTGGGATGGGCCGGCTCGGCGAGCCTGCCGCCGCTGCGGCAGTGGTATCAGCTGGAGTGGCGGTCATTCGGGTGGTCTGTCGGGCGGAGCCGAAAGCACCCGAGGTACGCTTCGGCTCAGAAGCCCATGGGCCGCCGTGGGCCTGCCGAGCTGCCGAGCCGGGAAGCTGACGCGAACGGCCCAGCCGCCCAGCGCGCGCGCGCTCCGCCCAGCTGAGCTGATGCTTCGGCTCGGCTCGCTCGCACTGACGAGAGGGGAAGGGAGGGGGTCACAACAAAGCAGACACCCCTTGCGTGCACTGCACGTCAACTGACATAAATCCCATGCTCATGCTACCCCCTCCCTCCCACACACACGAATGTGTAATAACTTTCGATTATTAAAATTTGAACCACGGTTCAACTGATTCTATTCTGATGTCCGGGACTCCCCCTTCCCCCTCTCCCCTTTACAATCGGCTGCGCTCACGCGCGCAGCGTCAGGCAAGCAGCACTGAGCAGCACGGTTGCCTGCCTGCCTGGCTGCCTCACCGCCAGCCGCCAGGTCGAGCCGCCCGTCGGCCCATGGGCGGTGTCGGCCGCCGGGCTGACCAGCGCGGGCCGAGCCGAGCCGAGCCGGGCAGCGCCGGCCGAGCGGTGGGCCGCCGGCGAGCCGGCCCATCCCAGATCTCTATTGACCGCTAAATTGTCCCCTGACCCAAAATTTAACCAAATTTTGGTTAAATTTTTTAAAATTAATTGTACAGTGATTCTTGCAGTTTTTTGAGTGCTGATAACGAAAATCACTCCCATTTTAACCCCAGACCTATATTTTCATCCCATATTAGGTCATTTTGGACCAAAAATTTCAAGTCAAGTTTATATTGTTTCCTGCAGTTTTTGGTGTGCTGAACTCAAAAATGACTTCCAAAATTTTCCCAGACTCACATTGAACCGAATTTTGACCAATTTTGGACCAAAATTTTTAAATCGAGTTTGACATTGATCCCAGCAGTTTTTTGTGTGCTGATAACGAAAATCGCTTTCATTTCGACTCCAGACTTATATTTTCATCCTAAATTAGGTCATTTTGGACCAAAATTTTCATGTCGAGTTTTATATTGTTTCCTGCAGTTTTTGGTGTGCTGAACTCAAAAATGACCTTCAAACTTTTCCCAGGCTGACATTTGACCGAATTTTGACCAATTTTGGACCAAAATTTTTAAATGGAGTTTGACACTGATCCCAGCAGTTTTTGGTGTTCTGATAACGAAAATCACTTCCATTTGAACCCCTGGTCTAAAGTTCACTGAATATGAGCCCTTAAGATGGACATTTTGTCTACTCAAGCAAAGTCCAAAATGCACAAACTATGTCAATTCGCATCGCTCAGCCACACTACGCGCCCAGACTAAACGGCGCGTACCCCTAGTACTGAATGCCGTGTCTGAAAAGTTTCCAAGGTACAGTGGATGCAGGTTCCCTGGATACAGTGAACGCCGTTCTTTCAGGCACGGTGTCTACTGTATCCCAGGGTACGGTAAACACCTTCTTTCGGTAAACAGTGGAGAGTGGCATTAGGTTTAACAGCCACTATCTTCATTATTTCTCCCAGTGTAGGCTGATTGAAGTGGACCGCGTGCACAAATCCTGCGCTTGCATTTCACCGTCCGTCCCTCTCTGCGGGGCTCTCCGGGGCTCTGTGGGGCTCTGTGGATTACGCGACCACAGCGAGCACAAAGCAAGCTTGGCAATCGCTGAACCATCAATCGGCATCCCGCACAGCGAGCCGCCGTGGTCAAACATTGTAATTAGGATTCACGTACACGTCAAAAACAAAAAAAACACACACACACATTGACCAAGTGGCCATTTTCAAAACGTTGCCTGGTGCTTGCTTCAACTTTTCCTCCTGATGTTTTGTGTTCTTTTTCGTGTCGTCGCTCTCCGACCGACGTAAAGCTTTTAAGCGGAGGGCATGGATTAAATAAAAACGCAATTAATATTCAACGTAATGCTTCTTGATTATTTTTGCGGAGGGGGCTCTTTCCACTGCAAACCCGAGTGCGGTCCAAGCAAACAGCGTGGGACAAGCTGTGTAGATTCTCCGTAAACAGGCAAAGTTCTTCGGGAATTTACGCAAGTTCCATCGGCACCATTGTTTCCAGAGCTACCTTCGTAAATTTCAAAGATTTGTTTTTCCAGTGAAACAGACTGAACGACCTTTGATGTCCCCCATCACGTGCCGTACCGCGGGGGCAACGTCAAAGCATCCCCTGAAATAAACCTTACGCAATGAAAGGGACAGAAACATTGTTTTTTCCTTTCTGTCTGTATTTGCTTTGTTTGTAGCCTTTGCGAAAAAAGTGCGCCGGTTTTGTATTTCGCTTGCGACCTATTCGTCGACGCTTGCGTCGCTTGCGTCGCTTGCGAGTCATTCCGGTAATCGGAGCACGCGAGGGAGACCTCGCCGTGGTGTGGGACGCGCGCCCCCCAAAGCTGCTGATCGCGTGGAGAGCCCTCAGCCGAGCTCCGGGCCCCGGGCGGTCCTGGGTAGAGACCCTCCCGGGCCCCTCAGAGGGGACCGGAAGGGGCTGTACTCCGAGAGCCTGGGACCCGGAAAACGCCCCTCCCTTTGTTGTACTGTTTCTAAAGAGGTGTTTACTGCAAAACAGGCGTTAGTTGATAAGGCGGAGCCTTGTTCGAATGCGACGGGACTGATATCGTCCCTTCCAAAATCGTCGCATGTTTTCTTCTTGAAAGCATTTTTGTCAAATCGACTCAATACACTGACAACACTATTTACATTAATTCAACGCCGAAAGCGAGCTATGCGTGGCGCGTCTCCTATTTGGTTTGGTTCCCCTGGGCTGACTGGGGCCAGGGGGCGTGAAGCGGTTTGTGGAGGGAGGGGATGGAGAGAGAGAGAGAGAGAGAGAGAGAGAGAGAGAGAGAGAGAGAGAGAGAGAGAGAGAGAGAGAGAGAGAGAGATGAGAGTGGCCTTCATCATATTTCCCCGACTGTAGCAGCTATTATCCCCTTTGTCATCCCCGCTAGACGCCCTCCAGCCGCCAAGGTTACAGGCTCTGCCCCTTACAGGTGCTAGAAGCTCGCTCCACATCATTCGTCGCGAGGCGAATTGATCCTGCGCGCTGCGTTCTTTTAAATCAATGACGTCTAGATACGAAAATAAAAAGCAGACCGGATGCCACTTTCGCTGATTGACGGTGGGGTGAAACGGGAATCTGTGTCAAAGCAACACGAGAGCCTGAAAGGGGGCGCGGAGCGTCGTTAGGGGCACTGCGCGGCACTGCGCGGCATTCGTGAGCCGAAATTCTGAATGGCTTTTTAGTTATTTCAGCTGAAGCAATAATTCAAGGACACGGTCTTTGGTTGTCCTGGAGGCTCGATTCACACCCGTAGGACGAGCGCTTCTAGCCTGAAGCTTGGAATAAGGACTTGAACCGTCCGTAGGTGGTGACGTGGCGTCCGATCCCAGCGGTGCAGATGGCCAGGACGTCACGGGGCACTCCAAGTCCACCGCCAGTGTGTCGGTGGCAGGCAAGGACGACGACGAGCAAAATGACGTGGACCCCGAGCCAGAAGAGGTGGAGGAAGAGGAGGAGGAAGAAGTGGACGACGACGACGACGAAGAGGAGGCCCGGGAGTTTAAGGCCACCATGATGAGACTAAGCCTCACCGTCAGCAAAACAGGTAGTGTGCCACTGAGGGAAGAGCGCCTTTCCAAATGAACGTGACTTGACGAGCCTCGGCAGGGCTGTCAAATGAATTCTACGGCCCGCTGTAAACTCCAAATGCTTCTTTCACGAACTGTGCAGACCTTTATATCTACGGTCAGCACAGAATGTTACCGAACGCAGTACACTCGTGTAAATGTTGTCAGAATGTCAGGAACATGTCGTAAATCCTGATGAAAATTCACGCACCTCTAAAAGCTGAAATTCTTGAAACTTACTCTGATGATGGTTTGAGTGCTACAGAATGACAGGGGATGTTTTCAGCTGTCAGAGGTGCGCGAATTTTGGTCAGGTTTTCAGACAGGTTTCTTACATTCTGACAAGATTTTCACGAGTGTAATCTTTGCCTAGACCGTACTTGCTTGCCTCTATCTTGGATGTAGTCAAAATTAATTGGCTGAGCCAAACTTTATCTTTATTTTTATCTTATACGTTAACCGGGCGAAGCCCTGCATTCAGCCCACAGCCCAGAGCCCAGTGGAGATGCCGGGACTTGGCGGGACCCAGCCGGTTGTCAAGTTTACTTTCGATCTTTAGGCGTGTTAAAACCACGAAAGTGGCATAAAATGTATATGCATGGAAAGGGGAAAGTTCAAAGATTACATTGACGCTAATTTGGACGAAAATAAACTCTTAATGTGAAAATGAGAAGACGACGGGCGTGAAATGGCGAAGGCGAGAGAAGGCGAAAACGATCGTCGGGCCGTCGTTTACTCGCATCTTTGAGCATGTTAGAACGCCGAAAGTGGCACAAATTGTATATTTATGGAAAGAGGAAGGTTCAAACATTACATTGACGCTAATTTCTGTGAAATTGAACTCTTTATGTGAAAATGAGAAGACGACGGAGGTGAAATGGAGAAGGCGAGAGAAGGCGAAAACGATCGTCGGGCCGTCGTTTACTCGCATTTTTGAGCATGTTAGAACGCCGAAAGTGGCACAAATTGTATATTTATGGAAAGAGGAAGGTTCAAAGATTACATTGACGCTAATTTCTGAGAAATTGAACTCTTTATGTGAAAATGAGAAGACGACGGAGGTGAAATGGCGAAGGCGAGAGAAGGCGAAAACGATCGTCGGGCCGTCGTTTACTCGCATCTTTGAGCATGTTAGAACGCCGAAAGTGGCACAAATTGTATATTTATGGAAAGAGGAAGGTTCAAAGATTACGTTGACGCTGATTTCCGTGAAATTGAACTCTTTATGTGAAAATGAGAAGACGACGGGCGTGAAATGGTGAAGGCGAGAGCGCACTAGCTGAACTGTCAATAGCATGATCCTGCCAATAGTGAAGCGCAGAGTCGTTCGAGCAGAAAGCAGCAGAAAGCAGAATTCGAAAAAATAATAACATTCTTTCAGATAACTTGACACTTTAAATGTACTAATGATTGTTCGTTCACCATAATCGTAACGTGGAATCGAAGGAAATGAGTACATGAAACCTGCATTCTATTGTCACATCTCACCGTTCATAATCTTAATAATGGAATAATATTTTTCCAAATTTGATTGGTTATGCATTCAAAGTAGTTTCTGTAAAACGATTGAAATTTATTATCATGCGTTTTATCAAACATCTAACACTGGCACATGTATCACAGTGCCTTGTGTTTTTCTTGTAGACTAATATTCACTTCACAAAAGTTTATGATGCGAAGCGATAGATCAAACGAAATTAAAGACTTTATTCCGCGGTCATCCAAAAATATAAAAAGAGACAAGGAGAATCTTCAGGGGAATATATGGCCCTTGCCACTTTCTCTTGTCGGTGGATGTAAATTGTGAGCGCTTAAAGGCGTTCTGTGGGCAAAGGCGTTCTGTTGGGGTAGGCGTTCTGCCTGCCTAGGGGGATGTTATGTGTTAGGTGGCCTTTGCCACTTGTTCTTAAAATTACACATAAACTGTTGGTGCGCAGTTGTGTGGGTTGCACAAAGGCAACTAGAAAAAGAACAAACAGCTACAATCTTTCTGATAGAGAACTTGATACCTTTAAATGCAACCAATGACATTCCTTAGCTTTTTTTTGTAATGTGAAACTGATGGAAACATAATCATGACATCTGTATTTTATTGACTTATATGCAATCAAAGAAGTTTCTGTTAAGGTTATTGTAAAGTGAAAAAAGTGACTATTTAATATTTTTTATTTACTTGTGTCAAATGTCTTAATTTATGGATAAAAGTTCCTTTCTATTGCATAAACTCATGCACTAAGAGCAGGGCCCCACTTCATTTTAGTTTCCGAGTTATGGATGTTTACGGTAACTTTCAGTCGTTTCTCTCAAATTCTCCTCACGACAAAGGATTAGCTACCCAGTCCCCAGATTCTAGCAATTGTATTCTTCTTTGCCTAGGAAAAAGATAGCGTTGCCCTTTTTTCAATATGTCACTTAGTTTTCTTGAAAATTCCAAGACCAAAATAAGACAAAATCTCTCAAATTTGAAGAAAGATAAAAATGGGCCTGGTGAAATAGCTTTTACAGCCTCTTCCAGACTGATATTTTCAAATTTGCCCACGCTATCTTTTTCCAGTGCAATAATAGATATACTTGTCCGAATCTGAAGACTGGGTAGCAAATCATTTGTCATGAGGAGAATTTGGGAGAAACGACTAAAAGTTAACGTAAACATCCATAACTCAGAAACTAATAGGAGTTGGGGCTCCCAACTTCAGAAGTAAATTCACCTAGTAGTGGTTGAATTTTGACCTCAAAATGAACTTTCTGTGACAAATACTTTTAGGACATTCTAGTTTCACTTGACAGTATCCTTAATCTAGAGATGTTAGGTGGCCTTTGCAGTACAAGGTCATAAAATAAATAAATGTACAGAGCTAAAATCCTAGCGGCACGGGGTATCGCCGCACGCTTCAAGAGGCATGATGGGTTGCCTACCCACTGGGCTGATTCCTGTTCCAGCCGAGCCCACCTAGCGTCAAAGACATCAATGATCGTCACAGACCCACTTTCCGGAACACAATAGAATTTTTTCAACCTGGATACGGTGCGACGTCATAGTAAAAATGACAGCACTGTTAAAATAATCCAGAAAACATCCTTAATAAATTAAACAAATGCTTAAAAATTGTCACTTACTTAGCGACATAGAGGAAAATTTGAAAAATAAATTACAAATACGTGAACGTAGGAGCCCTTAGGCTCAGCCTGAAGCGGTAGCTTTTCCTAGTACCGTGCATTCTGGAAATGGTTGACAAGAGCCGTCGTGTCTGCCCGCAGAGGTGCAGGACACCTTCCGGGAGCGAGGCCCCACGCGGTTCCCAGGCTTCGTGGCCAGGAACCACGGGCCCTACGATGGCTTTCAGTCGCGCGGTGCGCGGCTCGAGGAGGGCGACGTGCTGACGGAGGGCCACGCCGTGCCCCAGAAGTTCGCCCTGCTCGACCCCGACTACGGGGAGCTCCTCATCGGCATGACCATGCCGATGCCCAACCTGACTGCCGAAGATGTGGTTAGGGAGCTCGGTGGAACAGAGTGAGTAGCAGCACCATGCAGACGTTATGTACAGAACACTACTTGAAAAGAAAAGCTACAATGCCGAAAATGCACTCGAAGCTCTGCCAACAAATTCTTTTCCTACTGTGGCAGCCCAATAATGGTTCCCTGTCATAAGATTTGATGCTAAACAGCGGGTGGAAACTACTTTTCCGAAACGGGCGTGCAGACGTTTTGTTATCCGTTAACATCGGCCGAACCAAGCGAGCTAGGTAAAATCTGCTTACATTTTCGGAAATCAGCGCAAAATTTGACAGGGAATAGGGTACTTTCTAGATGGCGAAACCAAATTTATCATGGTTATTTTGAAGCCTAAAAACAAAAATGTTTCAAAAAGGCCAAAAATCCCATGTCTCGTCGAGTAACATTTCCATCTTGAAAACGTTAATGTGAACGAACGGGGTGTCGTATCACAAATCTGAGACCAGATTTGGAATCCTCAAAAAATTTGCCAATGTATAGGCTATATAGATGGAGTAGGTAGCCACTCCTTCTTATGACAACGATCCCCGATAATAGTCGGTACTTGAGCCACGCAAATGTTTGTTGTAAACACGTAATCGACTGAAATTCGCCGACAGTTATCAGGATGAAATCTGAAAATTCAAAAGAACGCATATAGCCTATACCGTGGTAAATGTCTTGAGGATTCCAAATCTGTTTTTGGATTTGTGATACGACGCTCCGTTCGCCCACATTAACGTTTCCAAATCAGTCATTTTGAGCAAACCGCGACAGTGCGAGACATGGGATCAGGGCCATATTTCGTAACACATTTGTTTTTAGGCTTCAAAATAACCATGATAAATTTGGTTTCGCCATCTAGAAAGTACCCTATTCCCTGTCAAATTTTGCGCTGATTCCGAAAATGTAAGCAGATTTTACCTAGCTCGCTTGGTTCGGCCGATGTTAACGGATAACAAAACGTCTGCACGCCCGTTTCGGAAAAGTAGTTTCCACCCGCTGTGCTAAATTGTCTTTTTTGGCTTGACACAAGACCTCACTGTTGTTTTCAGGGTTGCAGACCAATTGTTGTCTGAAATTGTGCACAATGTACACCACACGTGAGTGAAACCGATTGATTGCACTTTGCGCATTCAATTTGCACCGAGTGCAAAAGATGTATGCCCTGTGTCAGTCCGCACGCCTCTGTGAACGTCCTTGCGTTGTTTGTGCCCCACTAACCATTTCTTTTTTAACTCGTGAGAAAACTAACATGAGCTCGAAGCTTGGTATTTTCTGGTGCCTTATGCGTGTGTGATAGTTTCCCCTGCTTGCCTTGATTTTCAATCCTCCACTTCGAAGATTATTTTAGTAACCTGGGCGTGCCGTGTTCTTAAATTTGAAACATGTTCGTGCGCGAACGACGTGTCCTAGCCAAGAGGCCCGTTCTGGGTTCAATTTGCCTGGACCGTGCTTGCATTCATGCCCACAGCCCTGGAGGTGCGAGGGTGCACATTGTGTTTGCCGGTTGAGCTGGCTTGGGCCCTGACCGTCCGGACCCTCCTGACCCTCCTGGCCGCTAGGTGGTAGCTAGGCCAAGCGCGCTCCGTCCGAAAGGAAGCGCCGTTCTCCTGGGACACCAGCCGCGTCTTCTCTCTGTCTTTCGGACGCGCCCGGTCCTGAGCACACCTCACACACGGACACTGCTCGTGCAGGTTGGATGCACTGGCACATCAATGCACGGGAAAGGCAGGAGCGCCCCAGTCCAACGCCTCTGTGACCCTTGCGCTTGTGGCCGGATCCTTTTTCAACTTGGAGGGAACATACCGTGATTTGGTATTTTCTGGTCTTTGCGTATAGTTTCCCCTGCTTGCCTTTTGAATCCCCCCAATTCTTTGACCTGGCGTGCCTTGTTAAATTTGAAACATGTTCGTGCGCGAACGACGTGTCCTAGCCAAGAGGCCCGTTCTGGGTTCAATTTGCCTGGACCGTGCTTGCATTCATGCCCACAGCCCTGGAGGTGCGAGGGTGCACATTGTGTTTGCCGGTTGAGCTGGCTTGGGCCCTGACCGTCCGGACCCTCCTGACCCTCCTGGCCGCTAGGTGGTAGCTAGGCCAAGCGCGCCCTCCACGTCCGAAAGGAAGCGCCGTTCTCCTCGGACACCAGCCGCGTCTTCTCTCTGTCTTTCGGACGCGCCCGGGCCCCGAGCACACACTGCACACACTGGCACACTGCTCGTGCAGGTGCAGGATGCACGCGGCACATCAAAGCCCTGGGAAAGGCGACGGGAAAGCGGCCCGGGGGCAAACAGACTGCTAGTGCTGCCTGGTGCCGCCCGGTGCTGCCGTCCCATTTGGAATAATTGGTTCCTCGGCCGAACTTGCAGCCGAACTCGGCGCCGCTTTGCTGAATTATTTCTTGTTGCTCCGCAGGGAGACGGCGGACGACTTTCTTCCCGGGTACGACGCCGCGGAAAGCAGGTGAGCTTCGTGAATAATCATCCGGGAAAGTAGTGGAGTGGCTGCGCGTCCGTGATCACGTCAATCACGTCACGGGCGGGAATGGAGCGCAGTGCAAGCGGGCGCTACGCTCTCCCGCGCCTCCAGGCTGCGACGAAACAGTAACAACTCTTCGTCTCAGCCTGGAGGCACGTGGGGGACTCTGTTTACCTTTCCATGTGGAAACAGTGGCGGCCACTGAACCGCCCCCAACTGTGCCATGTGTCCACGTGATTTTCGTTCATGATACAATTTTGCGCGTGCGCGCTCTCCGTTCAGATTTGAGCGAAATTTCGGTCGTCTTTTTCACAGTACCTTATTTTTAATAACTTTAATGCTGCTGGTAGAACGTTCTCCAGGCGTTGATCGCGCACCTTTCTGTTTCCAGATTCCAGCTGGCTCCAGACGGCGCGTCAGATGGCCTCCCATCGCCGCACCCCTTCAACTCCGAACTTGAGTACGTAGCAAACTGTAGACGGGTCTCTTTTTAGGCCCAACAGGGATGATGATGATGAGATGATGGTAGTGGTGATGGTGATGGTGATGATGATGATCGGCGCGCTTCTCACGTACAAAATGTCCAAGATCATTATATTGTGAAGTGACTGCTGAGAGTGCCAACTTGATGAAAACGGACTCTCCCGAACAGTGAGCGTCGAGCACGCGTCATGCGCGTAGCACCTGAGTTTTCATTTCGATTTCCGAATGCGTCGTGCATGTGGCACGTTGCTCTCGTCGTTTACGAAACGCGTTCGCCGGAAATTGGCCCGTCAAGTGGCACTCCCAGCGACCGTTCCGCGTCCCGGCCTCGTCCCGCCCGCGGCGACAGCAGCCAGTGGAGGCAGCGCGTCGTCACGCTGCCACCTGTCTGACGGTGTCTGTTGTTCCGCAGCTCCAGCGACAGCAATGGCAGCGACTGCGTCAGCACGCGGCTCACCGAGATCGGCCGCATCAAGCACTTCAAGCAGCGCCTCCCGGACTCCATCGTCAGCCAGCCCAGCCCCGACTCCATGACGTCGGTGTCGTCGCCAGGGTCGCCCTGGTCCACCTCCACGGAGGGCTCCTCCAAGTCCTCCACGCCGCCCCAGATGTGTCGCCCCGACCCGCCGCCGCAGCCGCCGCACTACCCGCTGCCCGAAAAGACGCCCCCGAACTTCGTGGACCAAGTGGACCGGCCGTACCACAAGTGGATGCGGAGTCGGTTCATGGGCAAGGCCAAGCTGGAGGGCTACGGCTGGGACAAGGCCAACAAGTCCCCGTGAGTGCTCACAGTGTCCGTGCAGTCATTAAAACGACTTGCCTTCATGACGCGCCTTGTTCCAGGGAGCTGATTACTCTGCTCCGGGACGCCGAGAGGACGGGCAGGGTGGACCACCAGAGGATCTACGAGTGCGCGAGGGGCCACATCAAGTACCACATCGCGCTGCTGTACGAGAAGGACGACAACGATAAGGTGCGAGTACACGCGTCCTGGGCGCCCAGACACATCACCGTCTCTTGTCATGTCGTGGAATCATCAGTCCCCCATTCAGGCGTGGAGCGTCTCCGCGCAGGCACGCGAGCTCATTGAGGCTGAGTGGTTAGTGACGATAGAGGTCCCTTTCAGGGAATTCCGAGTCGAGTCGCAATCTGTCACAGAGCCCCCTCCCCCGGTGGGGCCCCGGCGGGCAGAGCCTGCGATCGGGTGGGTAAGGCGGCCGAGCGCTACCCGGCCGGCCTGGCACTCTTTGACTTGCTCACCCGGCCACAGCCGGCCCATACCCAGACCCAGACCCACCCGCTGTTGAGGTGACCGGGTAACGCGCTACCCACCACGGGTGAACAGACCCAGCGTGCCGACGACGGCTCGACCCGAGCCCAGCGCGGCCCGCTGCCGTCGCCGACGAGGCAGGCGGCAGTCAGCGAGCCGCCAGTCGACACAGCTGTCTCTCTCGCACTCTTTGGCTGCTTATGGGAGTGAGAGAGCGAGATGCCACTCGCCTGACGCCCGTCAGTCGCTTGGCGCGGCTGTGGTTGGTTTTGCCTCGCCGTCGGCGCTGTGGCTCGTCGATCGGGCGCTGGTCGCCGCCGCTGGCTGCTACGTGTGAGTGTGTGTGTGTGTGTGTCAGTCTAGGTCGGGCCGGCCAGCGCCGACTGAACCTGTGCTGGCACCGGGTAAGAGCGCTCACCCGGCCGGGGACGGCGGGTGAGAACGCGGCAGCTTACCCACCCGATCGCAGGCTCTGCCGGCGGGCATTCAGTCAGTGCGAGCGTCCACTCCGCAGAGCTCCGCCGTCGCATTTGCGATTCCGCTTTAGCCCGCGGCTTGACATCGGGTTCGAAGTCCGGCCGGCCGGCTGGCAAACAGAGCCAACAGTGCTAGGAAGCTTTCTTTGATTATTCAGGAAGGGTACACGGCGCGCTGCTCAGTTTTGACTCACCTCGCAGCGTGGCAGCTTGTCTGATCTGATAAGGGGACCTCGCCAAAGGCATTACGGAAAGGGCCACAGCCAGAACGTCGCTTACGATGCTTTCTGAGACGATTTCGGCGGATGCACGTTCACTTTGATGGGCACGGCCATGAAAACCTGCGTAAGCAGATATTGTTTTGTCAGTTTGAGTTTCAATACCACAGCAACGGAGATTCGTCGTTGTCAGAAACAAGTACGAGATTTCGTGACTCGCGATTGCGCGTTCGGATTTGTATGAAAACTTCTCATGCGCGAAGTTGTGAGAGACCACGTAGAAGTGCATTCCCCGCCCGGACGATGATGTCTGAGAGCAGCCATTCCTCCCAGTGTATGTCGAGTCATGCCTAATGCGCCTCCGATCAATACTGCAGTGCAGGCACGGCTCTCGGTCCCGCGGATAAGTCGGGAAGGAGCTCGCTCTCGAAGAGCCGCTTGAAAAACCGAACCGCCGTCTCATTATTTGTCAAGAGGAGTTCGGACAGACAGCTCTGCTCTGCAAAGTTGCTGCGCACTGGAGTCCCTGGAAAGGGGTGATGGGGAGGGAAGGGGGAGGCGTTTGAATGAAGGCAGGCCCCTCCCTCCCCGCCCCCAATCTTTTGATCCGCCAAAGGGCGTCCAACCAAATCCGGTGTGCTAGACGCGTGGTCTGCCACCTCGCAAGGCCGTGGGGACTGCGTAGTATCGTGACACGACCCGACAAAAAATTGCTTTGAGGGGGAAAGACGCGGCCTGTTGAGCCCGTCTACAAATACGCCGCGGACGGACTGCGAGATACACTCCAACACAGAGCTCGTGCCAACTTGCAAACAATTTTCCACAAACATTTGAAAATCTAACCAGCTTTTTGGCTGAGCGATAGCGAAGCCCTTGCCGTGTTTGGGCGCTCCGAAAAGTGACTGGTCGTGAGTCTGTCTGTCTGTCTCTCTGTCTGTCTGTCTGTATGTAATCACTCACGTTTCTCAGCAACTACTGAACGAATAGTATCCAAATTTCACACCTGATGTCTCCTAAACATCCTACAGGGGGAGTTTATCTCAGATTAACAATTATCATCGTTTGAAATATTCAAAACATCATTTTGAACTAGGTAATTAGCCTGTTTAGGTTGGTAGCAGTGTGTGGCTGACCAATTTCTCATACCGGCTGCCGCGTTTGCAAGCCGTCTGGAAGACGAGACGGCACTTATGCAAATAAACAAACTAAAGAGCAAAGGGGTTCTCAAATAGGTACTGAGATAGTTTTTTAACATTCTAGAATGATTGAAACCCTTCCGGGGTGTCAACAGAGGAAAATACGGAAACTAAATGTGAGAATGGTTTACGTGTTTCGTTCCCCTCTTCCCCCTCCCCCGTCACAGGGGAACAGGTCAGTGCACTGATAGTGTAGTTGTGGATTGTAAATAGAATGTTTTCTTTGCCCTTGTGTGCGTCTACTGATTTTATTCTCTCTAATACTATCCTAATTTTTAAATTTCATAGTAAATAAAATCAGGTAAATACATGAATAACTTCTGTTGAAATTTGAAGACATGTTAATTGTCTTGGTTTGTCTCGGGGAAATGACACTCTATTGCAATGCTGCAAGCTAACATAAATATTCTTACTTACATCTATTGATTAAAAGAATCCATAAATAGATGTATTTTGTGCAATAAATAGTCCATATATTTAGTGCTAACAGATTTTGAACTGATATTGGGTTCAATGAGACGATTCAGGTTTTGAGCGGTGGGTGACTTGGTAATTGCTTTTAATGGGACGATTCCTTTCACTTCACCAAAGCTTGTGTCCGACAACTGGAACCAAGTATTGGTAATGATTTAAAAGCTGGCTTTCTGAATGTAAGCCCAATGTTAATACTATACTGTATTCTTTTACTCTAAAGATAAAATATCACGAGGTATGAATAAGGTAAATTAAGTTGGCGTATTGAGCAACAAGTGGCCTCTGCATTTGACTTCATGAGACGATTCACTGAATTTGACAAAACTTGTTCTCCGTCGAATGCTTCAGATGAGCCCTAAACTGAGTCACTTAATAAAAACTATGATTACATATTCCAGTCTATATTGTTTAATTCACTGGTTTTAAATGAAAGAATGACAAAAGGCTTCTCAGATATAACTAATAAATTTGTGAATTCATTAGTTTGAAGAAAAAGATGTATCGAACAGTGAGTCAAGCAGACGAGTAGCTAATTAAGCGATTCAATGCTGGCAATGGAATGTTACTCGACTGAAGGAATCGCATTGGTGTGGCATTAGGGTGTTGGTGACGACAAACCCACCAACCAGTGAAGACCAACCCAGACCCATTCTTTACCCATTATTGATCAATTTGATATGAATATTTTTCAATCGAATCTCATATTGATTCTTGGAGTTTTTGGAGTGCTGATTATGAAAACCACTTCCATCTCTACTCCAGACTTATATTTTCATCTCAAATTAGGTCATTTCGGACCAAAATTTTCAGGTCGAGTTTTATATTGTTTCCTGCAGTGTTTGATGAGCTGAACTCAAAAATAACTTCCAAATTTTTCCCAGACTCACGCCTTACCCAATTTTGACCAAATTTGGACCAAAATTTTTGAATTGAGTTTGATGTTGATCCCAACAGTTTTTTGTGTGCTGATAACGAAAATCACGTCCATTTCGACTCCAGACTTATATTTTCATCCCAAATTAGGTCATTTTGGACCAAAATTTTCAAATCAAGTTTTTTATTGTTTCCTGCAGTTTTTGGTGCGCTGAGCTCAAAAATGACTTCCAAATTTTTCCCAGACTCACGCATTACCGAATTTTGACCAATTTTGGACCAAAATTTTGGAACCGAGTTTGACGTTGATCCCAGCAGTTTTTTTGTGTGCTGATAACAAAAATCACTCCCATTTATACCCCAGACCTACATTTCATTCAATATGAGCCCACAAGCTGCAGTCCGAAGTGCACAAATTCGCATCGCTCAGCCACACTACGCGCCCACACAAAACGGCGCGTACCCCTAGTTGTACAAAATGTGTATGAAAACTTTTCTTCAAAAGTATCTGAACGAAGTTGTACCAGATGGGCTAGAAACCCCGAGACGAAGAGATTACAGACTTCACGCTCGCAGCGGCGCAGGGTGGGCTGGGACAAGTGGCCACCCTAAGTGGCCACCCTACAGCGTCCCAGCGTGGCCTGGGACGAGTGGCCACCCTACAGCGTCCCGGCGTGGCCTGGCTGGCCTGGGACGAGTGGCCGCCTATACAGCGCCACGGCGCCCGCAGACCGGAGCATAGGCAAACCGGCCCGCACGGCTGCGAGCGGGAAGTCTGAAGTCTTTTTGTCTCGGAGTTTCTGGCCCAGCTGGTAATAACACGGGGGTGGTGAGCCCTTGGGGTGCGACTGTACGATCTGGTTCTTCCTTGCAGACGGCGCTCTACTACGCGGCGCGGCTGCACTTCGACGACCGGGTGGCGGGCTTCGTCGCCGAGTGCTTGGTGGAGGCGCAGGAGAGGTGCTCCAAGTCCAACAGCGGCCGCCGCTACCGCGTGGACGAGGAGGTGAGTGTCCTCGGGCGCATTTTTCATTGCGGACCTCGCTCTGTCTCTTAGGGCTCTGACTTTTGCCCGGGTACCCGGGTTACCCGGTTACCCGCCCGCCCGGGTTGGACCGGGTCCGCGGGTAGACCCGGGTACCCGGGTATGCGGGTAAACCCGTGGACCCGGGTCCCGGGTCTGCGGGTCTACCCGGAGCCTTGGATCCACCGCCCTGGCAGTAGGCAACACGCAGTGCGCTCCTGTGGGCCGTGTTGCCTACTTCTAGGGCGGTGGATCCAAGGCGTCGGGTAAACCCGCAGACCCGGGACCCGGGTCCACGGGTTTACCCGCAAACCCGGGTACCCGGGTCTACCCGCAAACCCGGGTCTTACCCGGGCGACCCGGGTACCCGCGGTCCGGGTTTTTAAGAGCTCTACTGTCTCTCTCGCCCGCCCCAACGGGACGAGGAGAGAGACGGGGCACGATGCTGCTGCGACCTCTGCGCGTTCACGTCGGAACACGACAAAAACTGTTCCTGTTTCCCCCAAAAAGACCCCCAGGAAACGGCCTGTATTTGCGACCTGCGAAAGCCAGGGACCGCTTTCGCCGTGAAAGCCTCTTTGGCTCGACGTCGGGTGTGGTGCGTTGCGTGCAGTGCAGTGCAAGCGGCAGCCTGGGAAACGCAACTTGTTGACAAGTCGGGGGAAATTAGCGAAATCCGTCAACGTGCACGCGCACGCGCACGCCACGGCGATCACAGGGAAGTCGGGAGAGCAGCCGCTTCTGCAAGAGTGAATCGGACGACAACTTCACCCCGCCCTCACTGAACGACCACGCCAACTTTTCACGTGAAAAGTTTGGCACGCTTTTCACCACCTTTTTATTTTCCTTTCCGCTTTTTCCAATGTTCTCGCTGAATTCACCCCACCCAATAGTGGACCTCGGCAATGGGACGTCGGTTTCAGCCAGGCGTTGTTGCTCCCAGCCTTAGTCAGATGTTGACGTCCCCCTGTTCGCTTGCTGCAGCTCTACGACGAGGACAAGGACAACATCTTCCACTGCCTGGCCCGGTGGCACCGGCACGGCGAGAGCTACGTCGCCATGGCCGGCACGCTGCTCAGCATCGCCCCGCTGGTGACGCTCCTGGACAGGCCGAACAAAGCCGGTGAGTGGCGATGCGAGCATCGAATGCTTCGTCATTTTCTGCCCCATTGCTCCTGTTCTACTGACACCTCTGTCGCGATCTCTTGTTGGCAGGCCTGTTGCCGGTGGACCTGTGTCGACACAGCGACCTTCGTGCCATGCTGGTGAGGATGCCTTTTAATTGCAATTCGCTTTTTACTTTCCCGTCCGCGGACCGCGTCCAATCTCGTCGGTATGCGTGGGGCCGTGTGGCACGGGGCCGGCACCGTCGCGTAACCGAATCAAGCATCGGCCACGCGCGCGAGAGCCTCGGCGAGAGCCCATGGACGCACGGTCAGATATGATTTTGGTGCGTCACTGCTCAGTGACTTTGTACAATTTTGGACGATGTCTCATACTATTGTGAAAACTTGCGTTCATATTTGTGCGAAACCCCGTCAACGTAACGTGCCCCCCCCCCTTTTACCAAAATTGTTGCAGGGAACAAAAATGCTTCCATTTTTGTTCTGTTATGTCCTTTTATTTGTCAGCCAGCTTTGACTCTCGAGTCCTCAAGGGAGGCGACATTTAATTTGGGATTTCGTAACGGGGGAGTGAACCAGAACAGCGATAACTAGGTTGGAACGAAAAGGGAGAAAGCTGCTTTCTCCCTGCAGGTGCGCGGGGCTTCGCGGAGCGAGGCGACACGGTTGAACTCCCAGTCCAAAAAAACCATGGGGCATCCCATGGTGGTACATGGGATGCCATGGGCCGATTCTTTCCATGGGAACGATTCCCCGTGATTTTTGGAACAACTTCTCATGGTGTCTAGCGACCCATGGGGAAAGGTACCATGATGCAGTGTGAGTCATGGGTGGCACTTGTTGCCTTGGCAGAGTCTCTTGCAACTACAACATGATGAGCACGTAGAGATTCGTGACTCTTTTGAACTGTCACCCCCTAAACTTTTGACGCTACATCCGATTTTGCAATCATATTTTGTCTGGAGGGCACTGTTGAGATTATATGACCTATAATTGAAAATCAGGCGGAGACTTCAACGCACGAGCAGGACTGCCTTCCCATGGGAAGTCCGAACCCATGGAAAAGTTTGCATCATGGGGAAGGCCCTCCCATGATGATCAGCCTGCACCATGGAAAACAACCTCCATTTTTCATGGCATGCCGCTTGTCCATGGTGCGGAACCGCGGTCTCATGGTATTTCAATGCGCTGTCATGGAATTTGTGTCATGGGATCCCATGCAATCCATGGTTTTTTGGGACTGGGCTTCCAGGCGACGCACCTCCTGCGAGGCACGTGGTATTAAATTCGGCTGTCTCTACCGCCTTGGACGTATGCAGCAAAACCCCCCAAACGTTATGATCCTTCTCCTGGCAGGTCACAGACTCCGAGACTCTGTTAATTAGCACCAGCAGCGCGCGGTCTTATCTAACAAGCCGCCAGAAAGAGGCTGCCTTGTGCGACTCGGGACCGCACCGCTCGTCATTAGTGTAACGCCGTGTATTGTTCCAGGACCCGCGGAACCGACCCTACATGCTGGGCGCTTCCTTGCTGCCCGTCATGCCGGCAGCGCAGATCTTCTTGCCTCCCTGCTTCTCGCAGCGCTAGGCCGACAGGCACTGCACGCAACGCCAGATGCTGCGGTGCTGCGGAACGTGCCAGCTTTGCTTTGCTGTTACTACTTTTCCGAATCGTCTATATTTGATGTTGTTTATCTATGTTAATTTTATTAGGACAAACCTCGCGCGTATGTTTGCAAATCCTGTTAAGTGAGAGAGAAGGCACGATCTATTCTGCGCAGCATTTGTACCATTAATCGATGGTCTTGGGCACATCACAAAACTGAAGAGAACTTGTGGCTACCCTCACAGAATTCATTAGAAGTTCGGAAACCAGAATATTGCATCTCGATGGGTGATGTGCTGCGGAGCGCATCCTTTTCTGTGACAAAATCGTGCCGCTATTAGTTGCATGTTTTGAAATTAAACTTTAATTGGGGAGAAGAACCAAATTGATAGTCACGAATTGCCTTTATTTTTTACCTAAGCGCTAATTGAACCATTTATCTTAGTCGGACAAACTATCGTCAAGTTAAACTTACTGTGTCTCTCTCACATATAGAGTAATTCTTTTGTAAGTGTTTTTCTGTTGCTCTCAATGTATCTCGTGGGAATGGACTTTGTCGCAGAGAGAAGTGTGGCTGTGAGGAAAGAATGAGGGACGGGGAAGCCTGGTCTCGTGTCTGTGAGTTGAGGGACCTCTATCAACGAAAAGAAGGATAAATCATGAATTCACCTTGAATATTCTCTTCTAGACAGTTATGATTATTGATAAATGCCAAGAGGTTACTTTATTTTTTAGACGGAGTTTTATGACGTACTTAATTATGCGTCTAACACAGCCAGAGGAAAGTGAATATGTACGCTGCAAAAGATTGTGTATTTTTTATCTACGTGCATTAGTCATTACCGTAATTTTGGTGTTTTCTGTCATTTATTAAGAGACGTGTACAAATTTAGGCCGAAGTGGTTTGTTTATGCAGTGTTCCGCTGCAATAATAATCCGCATCATGAGGTGTGCTGTGCGCTCAATTCAACAATGTGATGATGGCCTGTTCGTTGTTTAGTATAAGCGGTTGTGATGTTGTACCAATGTATTATGTGTAGACACACTAGTGTTCCTAGTAAGTGTGTGTGTGTGTGTGTGTGTGTGAGAGAGAGAGAGAGAGAGAGAGAGAGAGAGAGAGAGAGAGAGAGAGAGAGAGATGAGCAAGTGTGAAAATGTGTGCGTGTGCACGTCTACTTAATTCTGTACTATTGAATATGTGTTAGTTCGTTCAATCATGTCATTTAATTCTGATTGGAAACAGACGATCAATTAAAATGGTAGAAAAAAAAGAACTCGGAGAACTTTGTGAAATGATTTTTTTTATTCATTCAAATCCACGGCGAGTTTGTTTGCGTCTCGCCATGATGGTCGCTCCCTGATATGCAAACTTAATCCTGCTTTTGTACTTAGCGACAGTGGAAGAACAACATAGCAGCCATGATGCGAGCATTGAGCAGTTATCAATGGGCCTTTGAAGGTAACGGTCGGAACGGTTTGCTGTGTAAAATGGATAAAGTGCGACACATGGAAAATTCATTTACAGACAGAGCGAGGAGCGAACAAGGGAACTAATGTTACATGATCACTTCACAACCATAAAAGTATGCGTAGGTAGTAATACTCATAACAATTAAAACTAATAATAATCTACAGCATATCATAGAGATATAAGGAACAATCATTTCTTTCGGCCTCGTGAGGAAAAAACATCGACGAAAAGAATTGTAGCTCAGAGGACTGGAAACTTTTGAGGATCTCCTCAGGTTTAATTTATTTGGCAGTGATATTACACACTTCGTACTGTGGTTAGCAAGGTAACGCGCGGTGTCCGAAAACAGTGTTTCCGAAGCGGGCACACACTGCAAAGGGCTCACGCTTGGCCCCATCCGCCCCATTCGGCAATTTTGTATTCTGTTTCAGCGTTTCAAACTATCACGCACGCGTTACTTGCACTGTGTCAGCAGTTCCACTGGATCCATGTTTCGACACGGTTTATTTTTTGTTCCTTGAAAATACTGTCGAGAGATAGCATTTGATAAACTAATAATACCCTGTTTGATGCCAACCTCCTCCGTACGGTGTTGCTAAAGGACTCTTTCAAAACAACTCAGCTCTTACTCGACTCGATCGTGAACATTACATTTTAACCACCATGAATGTCCACCAAATCTGTGAATGTCAGCGAGCAAGTCAGACATACGACTTTTAAAACCAGAGTCGCTTTTGATGTCAACCCCTAGAGAACCGCGGGAGGTGGAGAGGTGTCGAACACCGGCCACGTGTTAAGTTTCCCGCAAAATAAATAAATACTAATCTCTTTTAAAAAATATCTGCTTAGATTACAGATGATGAACAAGGAATCTAGATAATTCTAAGCAGGATAAGTAATTGTGCCTTGAGACGAAACAGCGCTTTTCCTTCCCATTGTTTAATAAATAAAAATTTAAGTTAACTTTTACGTTATGCCAACAGTTTGATATACCGACGGAAGCAAAGAACGCCTATATTTAAAAGCCTTCGACGATTGAAGTCAACTTACTCCTTAGCTTACATCAGCTTCGACATGTCACATCACAAACAAACATTGCACAAGCCTTAGAAATGGAATATTTTTAATATGAACTTTATATGAACATTTAGAGTTGATGATTATATACAAATGTGGCGAGAAAAGAAGACACGCGTTTAACATGACATTGAATATTACTACACGAACAGCAACGTTTACAACGCTCCGTCCACCTTTAGAAAATTGTTACCTAACAACACTGTCTACAATTAATTTATGTAATTAGGAAGTTAAAAACTCGAGGACTTGGCTTTAAAGGCAAGCTGTGCGTCAGCCTTGACTTGAAACTTCCCCTTCAGGGTTTGGATTTCGCAAAATTGACTGTCACACTACAACGATAGCACCTTGCGCTGAACACACATGGCAACGCGAATTTTAAACTTTGTCGTCTCTTCATCTAAAAATTTACAATTAGGGTTATTGTGCCCAGCTACTTAACTGTACATTTTGGTTATTCTTGGTAGTGTCTTTTTAACGTTTAAATTCTTTTCTTTGTTTTGTTTGTAGTTTCAATATCACATAATTGCTTTCATCACAGTAATTGTGCTCTTTTCCTGGTAACACACTCTCAGTCGTTGCGCGCACAATCACCTTCGCCGCGGTTTGTCGGACTGCCCGGGACGTTTTCGGGCCCGGCTCGGAGGGGGACCTCATGGCCAAGACCGCCACCGAGCATCACAAGCCTCCTGCTGCTGCACTCAAATGTCTCTCCAAGAAATTTGACTCCATTTGTAATTGTAGAAAGACTTTTGTGCAAACATATTGGAAACGAATGTTTTCCTTCATCTTTCCCTTCATATCTTACAAGAGAGTCAGGAACAAATTTAGTTCGCACTATGTTCGCACGATTTCTTTCAAGATTCCCTGCTAGACGTTTGGAGCGCGCTGTGCCGTCCCGCGCCGTGGCTGGCGCCGGCCGAGGGTTGGGTCAGTCTCTCTCAGTCCTTGCTCCTCTCCCCGCGGTCCTGCCGGAGGTCCTGCCGGTCCAGCCGGCCCTGGCGGTCGTCGTCGGGCGGCAGGATGAACTTGTGCTTGCCCTGCTTGCGCCACGAGGTGGCCGTGCACACGCCGGGGCCGCGCCACCACGCGTTCACGTCGCGGTACGACTTGGGCCGGAAGTCGTCGTGCAGCAGCGCGCACAGGCGGCAGAAGAAGTGCGTGTTGATGAACTGGCCCGTGCCCTTCCAGCGGAAGTAGCTGTTGTACAGGTCGTCGTCCTGGTCCAGCTTGTGCAGGTAGGCCGCCAGCGCCTTGGGCGACTCGAAGTCGTCCACGTGGATGTAGGAGTGGTGCGGCGCCGAGCGCGCGTAGTCCTCGGGCTGCGCGCCCATGGCGATGGGGATGATGTTCCGCCTGCGCAACATCGACATCGGTTAGCATGATCGCGGTCGTCGCCTACGCCCTCGTCAGCAGCCCCAACTCACCCCAGGCCGTTGACGAAGAACTTCTCCGTGATGTAGTCCTTGCAGTTGGAGTTCTCGAAGGCTAGGTAGAACTTGTAGTGCTGGTCCAGCAGCGCGAAGCACCGCTCGGGCTCGTTGCGCAGGCACTTGAGCTGGCCGCACGCGCCGTAGATGTCCACCTGGATGTGCTTGGAGAGCTCCATGGCGAACTGCAGGCGGCCGTTGCGGGCCGCGCAGTTGGACACGAACCACGCCACCTGCGGACAGGGCGCAGCGCATTCAGTCGGGGATACCCCTTGCCGGCCGCGCCACTGCAGAGGGGTAGGCCCGCCGCACCAGGGCGCGGGGTATCTCCGGCGCGGGGGTGGCAATGCCGGCAATGCCCGCGGCGGTGCGCGCCACGGCTCCGCGGCTGGCAGAGCTGGCAGAGCTGGCAGACAACAAGAAGGCCTCTAGGGCCCGCGTGCCGCGTGCTCGCCAGGCCGCGCCATGCGGTCGGCGGCAGACTGATGCCTGATGCGGTCGGCCGTGGTCGGCCGGCAGACTGGTTCCGAGAACCTTTTCCATAGCTCTGTCTCTCTCGCCCCTACACAAAACGCTCCATGAGTGCGAGAGCGCCAGAGCGACGAAAGCGGTTTTCGGAATCAGTCCGCAGGGGTCGCAGTGCGCCCTTCTTGCGGTCCTTGCTCATTCCCTGTACGCACGCACGCGAACCAAAGGCTGCGGAAGGGGTAGGGGCCGCGCCGCGAGCACGAGACTAGCCCTTGCTGGTCCACCGGACACAGGAGCCAAGCGTATCCCCCCCGAGCCTTCCCCGTGACGTACAGTGCGCTGCCGTACCCTTGGGCCTTGACTTGAAATAGCCTCGCTGGGAGCACCCATTTTGAACCGGTGGGTGTTCCGAGACCGCGGCTCCCCAGCCTCGTAGCTCTCGGCCGTGCCGAAGCCACCCGCACCGCAAGCGACGCTCGGGTGCGACCCCCGAGGCGTGCCCCCCCCCCCCTTTCCTCCCCTCGGGACCTGCGGTATCGTTAAACTGTCAGCCCGCGCGGCGCGTTAATGCCCCGTCATCGAACATGTCAGTCGAGTGCTCCCTAGCGCCTCGACGTCGGTCGCCGCAATATTCATGACAAGCATCGCGGACACGGTGGACGTACGCACCTTCCTGGTCTTGTTGGCGGCGTAGTTGGGCATCTCGCTGAGCGGGCGCTGTTTGACGCGCGGGTCGTAGTACGCCCAGCGCTCGTACGGCGCCACCAGGTCGCTGTCGCGCCGGTACGTGGCGGTCCAGTTGAACACGTCGTTGTACTTGATATGCTGCGTGTGGTACGGGCACTCCAGGAAGTACAGGATCCAGATCTGAGACACGCGAAGGCACACCGTGTAAGCCGACACGCCAGTGGCGTGACGGGTGATGCGTGGTGGCGGATTCGAACCGCAAACATTTGGCTGCGGCGGCGAGGCCGCTGCTGCGCTGCCCACTCACCTGCCGCGGCGGCCGGGGGGCGTCGGGGTGGCGGAAGTAGTCCTTGTACAGGATGGCGTCGGCCGTGCCCGCCTCGTCCTGCCGGTCCGTGAGCGTGCACGTGTCCACGGGGCACTGCTCACGCTCGAACACGGCCCGGCCGGGCGCCAGCCCGCCCCACGACGCCCACCCGTTGTACAGCAGGATCTTCTTGAGCTTGGGCTCGCCGGCGGGCGCGCCGCCCTCCGGCTCCGGCGGCACGAACATGAGCTGGTTCAGCACGCGGTCGCCGCCGACCTCCTCCTGGAAAGGCCAAAGGGTCAAGGACTCTGTCGGTACGGGTCAGCGTGGACCTGCAGGACTCGACGCACCTCCGGCCAGAGGCGGGACACGCGGCGCCCGGTGCGCGGGTCCTTGAGCACGGGCGTGGGCCTGCGCTTGCCGTCCGTCATGTACCAGGGCAGCCGCTCCGGGTGCACTGGGAACGGCACCGGCCGCACCGACGCGCCCTGGGGAGAAAGCAACGAAAAGCTCGTTGAAAGTTGAGGAACGGTGTTTGACCGCGGCGCCGCGGCGACCAAACCACTTACCGGACCGTCGGGCGGCCACAGATTGGGCGCCGGGTGCGCCGTGGTGGACACGCCGTCAGCCACCGCGCCGCTGGCGGCGTTGGCGGCGTTGGCGGCGGCCGGGGCCAGGCCGGCGGCGAGCCGGGGCCCGGGGGCGGCCAGCCCCGCCCCGCCCAGCGGGCCGCCGCCCCAGCGCGGCTTGAGGTGCATGTTGAGCATCACGAGCAGCACCACGCTGGACACCAGCACCAGCCACAGGAAGTGGCGGCGCGGCGAGAACCGGGGCAGCATCGCTCCTGTGGGTGACAAAGGGACGGTTCGGTTAGGCTGTCTCCCTCACACTCCAGGGGCGCGCGGACGGGTGCGTGAGAGACAGACGGAAGCCACGCTCGGAATGAGTCTTCTGCGCGCTACTGACTTCGCATCGTCTTGACGCTGGCGTCGTCGCCTTGGTTCATTATGCACGGCGAACGCGAGGAGTGGGGAGTGAAATTTAAAAATTTACCGCTGTAAGTGCCATTTGTGCGGGGGGAGGGGCGGCCCCGGCGGGGTGGCGAGTGGACGCCCGGGACGGGAGGGGTGGGGGAGGGGTGGGGGAGGGGTGGGGAGGGGTAGGGGTAGGGGTGGGTAGCGCTGATCCAATAAGTGGATGAGTGGTGGCTGCCCTGTGCACCTGCCTCCACACCTGTCTCTCTCCCACACTGCCCGGGCCGCCCTAGCCCGCCCCGCCCCGGCCCTTCTCGGCTTCCTGCCTCAGGCAATCGAGCTCGAGTTTGTCGTGGCATGTAAGCGCATTGGCGGCGGGCCGGGCGGGCCGGGCCGGCGGCGGCCCCTTTCACCGCCGGGCGCCGCTGTCTCTCTCGCACTCTCGGGGCGTGCCGTGTGGGTGCGAGAGAGACCGCGAACGACACTGTGTGGAATCGGTCTGGCGGGCAGACGCGGCCGACAAAGGGAGAGAAATTCATCTCGCTGGCGATGGTGGCGGAGGCGTGGCGGAGGCGTGGCGGAGGCGGGACGCGATTGGATCTCCGCCGCGCCAGCAGGGCCAGCAGGGCCATTCGTCGCTCCGCCTCTCTCGCACCGCCGCGGGGCCGCGGGGCGCTCCGTGAGAGCGAGAAAGACGGGGCTCTGCGGCGGGGGAACGCGCGCATATTCCGGCCGGGATGGAGTCCGCCTCCGTCGGCCAGCTCTCCCTTTATGTGGCGGTGAAAAGAAGAAACCCCCGCGCCGTGCGCGACGCCGTGCTCGACGCCGTGCTTTCCGTGCTTTCCCCGCTTTCCCGCGGCAATGGGGAAAAGGAAAGAAACCGTTTTGGCAACCGCCAAACACCTTGGTCGCTTTTTCCTGCGCGTTCCGCAACGGAGAGGGGAAAGTTCCCGGAAACTAAATTCTGTTTCGTTGCGGCACTGATTTTGCGGCAGAATTTGTTTTCTCTGACAATGTAGTGTTCTTTGGGAGGCCTAGTTTGTAAGGTTTTGAGGGAGTGGATAGGAAAGTGACCGAAACTAGCACAACGGCGCCTGTTTTTTTGCAGGGTACGGTAGCTCAGCATCCAGCGTGCCCTCCCCCCCGGCCCCACGGCCGCCCTGCGTGCGGCCCGGCCAGGCCCCGCCCTGCTCTGCCCCGCATCCTCATGCACCCCGTGTGCCTCATCACAAGCCTCCGGTGTGCCGGGCCGCTCCTGGTCCTTCGTGGCACGGAGGCTGATTGGATTTCGGAGAGCACGCCCCGCCCCGCCCCGGCGGCCGGCCCGCAAGGCTCCCACGTGCTCCGTGCGGCCTACCCTGCGCTCGGCAGGCGCTCCAGCTTCGCTCCAGCTTGGCTCCAGAGCGCTCCAGCTCGCACACGTCGCACCACGGCTGGGCCAGGCTGGGCCCTGGACCGCCCTAATTTGGGACTGGGGCGGCGGCGGCCCTCTCGCTGCGCCGCCTTGTGCCGCCGTGCGCCCGAGGCGGCGAGCTGGTGGCGCTGGAGAAAAAGAGTCTGTGATGTCGTTTTGAGGGAGCATTCATTTCCCTGCGGGCGGGCTGGCTGGCTGGCTGGCTGGCTGGCTGCTCCGGCTGGCTGCCCCGGTCGGCCAGCCGAGCGGGGCCGCAGGCACACTCCACCGAGCAACATCATACAGGCTGAGGAGTTGGCACCCCGCCCGGCCGTATCCCGCGGGACCGCGGGGGGAGGGGGAGGGGTTGGTGTTGCAGGGAGGGCGTGACTCGGGGGAGGGGGGGGGACAAAGGCGGTGGCCGCACCAAGAGCAATGTACAGAAGGGGTGAAGGGGATAAAAAGGAGCCGACGCGAATGTTGACTTTCGAGAGAAGAAGGGCAGTCGCTGTCCGCGGCGCCGCCGCCTCGTTCTCTGGACGACGCTCGCGCCCCCCACCCCTTCCCCCACCCCGAAGCCGCGGCGGCCACCACTCCACGAGGAGGAGGTACTCGGGAAAACTGTTGGCGGCAAAAGTTGAAGGCCGGACGGAGCGAGTGGCCGCCGTGGCCGCGCTGCCGCGAGGGTGGGGCGGGGCTAGAGTAGCCTAGAGGGCCGCGCGGAGACGCAGAGACCGCGCAGCGCGCGACCAGCCTCGCTGCGTCTAGTGCCATCTAGTGCCATCGTGACATCGTCCTCGGGGGCGGGGGCTGCCTGTTCGCAAACCACGTGACGTTTCCCACCCCCTTTCCCTCTCCCTCCGCCTGAATCGGCGGCGGTGATTCGCCCCGCGCTTGCGCGTACCCGCTTAGGCAGACGCACCCATTCAGATTCATATTCATCGCTATGGTGCGTTGCTCCGCAAACATTCACATCCGGCGCGGCGGTGCTGGCGGCGCGTCCTTTGGGGGTGTTGCCCGAGTAGTCAGCTGAGATATTGATTCCCCCTCCCCTCCTTCCCCTCTCTCTCCTCCCCCGCAGCCCCGACCTCTCTCAAACAATTAACGGCCCAAGAGGGCCGCCCCGCCCGGCCCTGCCGCGCGACTTGGCGCCACGACCCTTGCACTGTTAAAAAAATTCTGAAAATTCAGACAACTTTTTTCAGACTTGACGTTATGAAACACCAATTAAGACCTTTTTATGAAATTTCATAACTTTTGTCTGAGATTCAGACAGGGCAGTCTGAGACCGTGCTTGGTCTGAATATTTGTACCCAGTCTGAAATTTCATAATGAGGGAAGTCATAAAATTAAGATTAGGCTGACTAATACAAAACCAGATATACAAAATCAAACGTCGCGCATCAAAGCATTATGATATTGGCAGTTGTTATGTTGAGGGAGCTTGTGAATGCAAACTGTGGACCAATCACTTCTCAAATGGTTTGGTCCACTTGCTTGCAGCCGCCTGGAGTTACGTTTCAGGGACCTGCCGCTAGGTGGCGCCTGGAGCGCCGCGGCAGATCGCCACTTTGTATTTCCGATTAATGTCATTAAAGTAAATAATTTTTGCAAACAGCATCATCTGTTGCTTTAGTAATTATCAGCTCTAGCCTTTAGCAATAAGTTTGAAACAAAATATTACTCTGAAGTCGATAAAACCGCATTTCAATGTTGGCTCTCGCTGGCGTCTGCGTTCGGTCATTAGGTTGGGTGCCCGCATGATCCTCCGTGATGTTGTGGCACACATGGGAGATTCTATATGTGATCTCACCCTCGAACGACGAGGGCCTCAGTCTTACTGCGGACCATCTCGTCTGATATTTTTTAAGTAGCGATGGTGTCCATCGTGCGCGGAATCCCGGCGCGCTTTGAAGTTTGCTCTGTCTCTCACAGGAGAAAAATCGTTATCCGTCCAGTAGGTCCGCCCTAACAAGCGTCTAGACCACCACAATAGGCTGCCCTTTCCGCACGATTGCTGCAGGATGAATTCACACAGTATGTTCTAAAATTTTGGACAAAAAGTATGAATTTTCAGCTACAAAGCAGTGGGAATTTTAAGACTTGGCCATGTCTGAATTTTAAGACTTCATTTTCAGACCAAGACGAGTCTGAAAATTAATAACGAGTTTATGTAAAAGTACTTCACTCAAATTAGTCTGAAAATTCAGAAATTTTTTTTAACAGTGTGCGCCAAATTGCGCCTCGCGAACCGCAATGAATGAACCGGCAACATGAATATGAATCTGCGTCGCTGCGTCCGCCGCGGGTCGGCCCCAGTGCGGCGGCACTAGCAAAGCATTGCAAATCATTTCAAGGAATTGCAGAGCGTGAAGCTGCATGCATGGGGAACCGTCTTGGGCCGTGGATATGCTGGAACTTCTGGGAATGGAGTAGTGTTTCGGATCGGACCGATCGGAGGGGCTTGGGGCATACCAAAGTCAAGCATGTCTGTTAATCATTTTCGTGATCAGAATGACATTAAAAGTTCCTCCAGATCCCCTCTGTTTTCACGTCGTTTCTTCCTTTTTTCGTCGGGGGCGTGCATGTGAGTGCAGTGTGTCTCCTCCAGGGGAGTGGCGTTGGCCCTTCCCGACAGGCGGGCGGACGGAGAAGAAGCAGAGATAGAGAAAGCAAATCGCTCACTTCCTCTGCGCGCGTCGGGGCGTGGCGGGGCGCGGCGCGGCGCGGGGCGGCGAAAACTTTTGTTTCCGGGGGCACTGTAAATTACTCGAGCGAGGCGCAACGGGCGCTAGTCGCAGCGCTAGGCGCAGCCAGCGCAACCTGGAGGCGCGCTCTGAAAGCGCCGAGAGGGTGGAATAACGTTCGCGTCATTTTGTTCGGGCGGCGCGCTGCGTTGCACAGTGGAGCGAAACGCCAAAAAATGCGACATCGTGCGACATAGAATCATTTTCCGATCTGTCAGCTTTTTTCACGGCATATGGTCATTTCATGATGATATCTAGTTAAAGAAATGATTTCCTAGTATTGGCTAGGCTTGTAGAGCTAAAAATCGCGAAAAACATGAAAATTTTGTACCAAAATTTGCCATTTTTTATACGTTTTTTGCCCGTAAAACTGACATTTTTCCGATTCTGCAATTTTTCTCAACAGATTCTGAAAGCTAAGGACAAGGCCTACAACTTTTGTTATGGTCGCAACGCTGTAGCGAGGTCGGCCATTCGACTTTTTTGGCCTCAAAGGTTTTTCCTTTAATAAAATTTTCCCTTTGGGAAAATTTTTTCCTATTTTGACAAATTTAGGTATTTTTTTTGCCCCTGCAGTCCGCTTTACATCCCAACCATTTTTAATTCATCCAATCGAGTTTATAAGAACCGAAAATAGATGTTACGAGGCAACACAGACCTCAAGGGCACAAAAAAACCTAAATTTGTCAAAATAGGAATAAATTTCCCATGAAGTTTATTAAAGGAAAAACCTTTGAGGCTAAAAAAAGTCGAATGGCCGACCTCGCTACAGCGTTGCGACCATAACAAAAGTTGTAGGCCTTGTCCTTAGCTTTCAGAATCTATTGAGAAAAGTTGCAGAATCGAAAAAATGTGAGTGTAACGGACAAAAAACGTGTAAAAAATGGCAGATTTTGGTACAAAATTTTCATGTTTTTCGCGATTTTTAGCTCTACAAGCCTAGCCAATACTAGAAAATCATTTCTTTTACTAGATAACATCATGAAATGACCATATGCCGTGAAAAAAGCTGACAGATCGGAAAATGATTCTATGTCGCACGATGTCGCATTTTTTGGCGTTTCGCTCCACTGTGCGTTGCCGCGTGCCAGTCGGTGATTCCCGATTCATTTCCCTTCCCTTTCTCGGCGCGCCCCGCGTCGCCCCGCGTCGCCCCGCGTCGCTGTCGAAAGTTGAGTCACGTCCGCGACAGCCTGGTGGATGTCTCGCGAGCGGTCCGCCGGAGAAGGCGCAGGCGGCGGCGAGGCGAAGTTCACTGCGTTTCATCCCGACAGCCGCTCAGACCACGTATCACGCATTTCAGATTCAAAGAAATGAAGGGGTTCCCAGTCAAATTACCCCGGCACACTGAAAAACCAAACGTGGTCTAGACCGCACCAACTGGTGTGGTCAAATGGATGCCATTTTGACCGCATCAGTTGGTGTGGTCTAGACCACGTTTGGGGCGTTTGGTGTGGTCTAGACCACGTTTGGCCACGTTTGGTGTGGTCTAGACCACACCAAACGCCCCAAACGTGATCTAGACCACACCAACTGATGCGGTCAAAATGGCATCCATTTGACCACACCAATGATGCGGTCTAGACCACGTTTGGTTTTTCAGTGCAGCCGGCAGTGCCAGCACACTGCGATTCCGAGAGTCGCTTTCGTCGCTCTGTCTCTCCGTCACGGTGCGCCCCATGAGTGCGAGAGAGACAGGGCGACGGAGAGGACTCTCGGAAGCAGTCCACAGTGGGGAGACGCGCCGTCGCTGTCGTTCCCTCCTCCGCCTAGTCGTCCTGCAGGCCGATTCGGGACGTCGCTCGTCTCTCTCGCACCCCGTCGCGGGCAGCGCGGGCCGCCCCGTGAGTGCGAGAGAGACAGAGCGCCGGAAACGCTGCTGTTCTAGTTGTTCGGATTCGGCCCGCCACGACATTCAGCACGCCAGCGCCGCCAGCGGGCGCAGTGAGTGACACTGACATTTGGGCTCGGCTCGTGTTTTAGTCTGGTTGTAGTGCTATCGCCCCGCTGCAGATACCCGGCCTGTTCTCCGTTAGCAGCGACTTGTTCGAGGCGAGGCGCATTCCGGTGGAACGCTCTGTCGCGAGGATCCCTCGTGACTGATACCCCAGCGACACGCGGCGTGGAAAGCGCCTGTTTGTCGGCAGGACTAACGCGGCACCCACAGCGGCAAGGTCGGAGCGCGGTGTGGTGGGCTTTCGGTCACAGAAAGAGTCTCGCGTTTTAATGGGTGCCCGATCCGGGCGGGCAGATTGCGCCAGCGGCTCGGAGCATGCTCACAGTGGGGTACACCGTCGGGAAACTGTGTCGGTGTTTTGCAGTGCACCAGGCTGGGCGGCGCGAAGCGCGAAGCGCGAAGTGCGGTGACACTGCCATGATTGACTGCCTCCGGAGAAGGAGAAAGATGATGGCCCCGCCCCTGCCGACAGCACCACCCCACTGCCAAAACAGCCGACGGGAAGGCTCCCTTCATTCGGTTGTTGTTACCTGTCCTGAGAGTAGGCTGCGCTGCGGGCGGTCAGACTGCGCCGGCCGCCGGGAAAACTTCATAACGGACTCGCCTTCCCTCCTGCCTGCCGACACAGAGAAACAGAGAGAGAAGGTTTAGAAACCACCACCGCAGCGTTCGAGTGTAAATAAAATGGATTTGCCGCTGGCGCGCGGGCCGCGGTGCTGCACTTAGCAGGCCGCGCACTGCATGTCGCTGGCCGCGCTTTGGTACAGCACCCACAGTGTGTCCCACGGCGTGTCCTACGGTGTGTCGCACACGCAAAGGGCCGCTATCGGGGCGCACATCGACGGGGCCGTGATCGCCGCGGTCGCCGCGCACGCCAACGGCGCCCGTGACACTGCCGCGATCAAGGACGACGGCCTTCACGATCGGCAGCGCGGCGAGGCGTCGGAACGTCGGGGTGCCAACAAAACAGACTCAGCCGTCAAGACAAGGCTCCCTCCGCCGGCAGGCCGATGCCGAAACGGTCGCTCTGTCTCTCTCGCACCGCTACGGCACGTCCCACAAGTGCGAGAGAGACGGCGGCCGTTTCCGAAGCAGCCTGTGCAGAGGACACCATCAGGGCTATTAGGGCGGCACGGGTTTTTATCTCGAGTTCCGGATCTGTCTCATCTCATCCCCTCTCGGGCAACTTTCCGCGCGGTGGCGTTGGGTCTGATGGGATTCACGCCGCCCCCCCTCCTCTTTTGCCTCCCTGTGGCCGCCACTGGTCAGACTCCGCCGGCCCACTCTAGGAGCAGTGTGACAGGGTTGCGCATCAACCCCCGGGGCGCTGGCCACAGCACTGCAAAATGCTCGGCCTGCTTGGCCTGCTTGGCCTGCTTGGCCTGCTTGGCCTGCTTGGCCTGCTTGGCCGCCTCCCAGTGCAGCGCCCCGACCGCACAGCAGCGCACCGCCATGCGAACCTTTGCAGCTGCCTGGCTGTGCTGGCTGCCTCTGAGCCCTTTTGCCACACAACAGGCCCCATACACGCACTTCCACACGCGCAGGGTCCGTGAAAGGGCTGACATGCAGGTATACGGCCCGGAGTCCGATACGCAGTACGCAGCGCGCCCCCATCCCTTTGCCGGGGCCACGCCCCGCCCCCGCATAGCGTCTGCCCCGAGCGGCGAGTCTTGCTGGAGTCCTGCCAGAGTCCTGTCCGACCACAGTCCTGTCCTCACATTGTCTTACGCTGACAGAGACCTGTCCTCGCAGACTCTTCTGCTGACAGAGTCCTGGCAGAGTCCTGCTGATACGTTGGAGTCCTGCTGGAGACCACGGTGGAGTCCTCCTGGAGAAACGCTGCAGCCCTGGAGTCCTTTGCCTCTGCAGCAAGCTCTGCCTGTCGGCTCGGGTTTCGCGTTTCGCACTCTCCGCGTCGCAGCCACTTTTCTCGAGGCAGAGGCAGGCGGCGCCGGGCGGCGCTGTCAACGCGGTGTGGGGCACACAGCCTCGGCCGCCTCGGCCCCGGCGAGCCGTGGGCCCCGGAGATGCCGGGAGACAGCCCGCAACTTCTTCTCTTCATCTCGGCTGAGGCGTGACTCGGTGACTTGCAAAGCAGGCCTCTTTCCGAGGGGGCAAAAACTCGGGATTTTCGTGTACACATGATTCGGAAAACGCAATGATTGCGCATGGTTTTAATTGATTTCATGGCTGATTCTGCCTTCTTTCGCGACGCAGCAGGGTGATGTCGAGCGTGAATGTGTGTGATTGTGTACGGAAAGAAATGATTTCGGACTGATTTTGCCTGGTTTCGTGTGATTCTGCCTGATTTCGGTCGATTTTAGTGATTTTGGTTGATTTCGGATTGCTTGATTTCGCGTGATTCTCAATGATTCGCGTGTGATTTCGGGGGCCGTGTACACATGATTGCGCGAGTTTTTGCCCCCTCGCCTCTTTCCCTCGGGCCGCGCTCGCCGCACTCACCACGCACACTCTGAATTCCTCGGTGCGATTTTTGCACGTGGTCTCGCGTTGCTTTGGGTCCAGTCCGCGCACGGAGTAGTGGTCGTCTGGTCCATTGTGCGGTGCGGTCCCATGCGGTCGCGCAGTGTGCGCACCGGCAGACTGTGCTGGACTCGCTCCACTCTCCCAATGCGTTCCGGATCGCCTCGCCTCGCCTCCACTAGTGTATATCTCCGAAGTTGCCGCGCCTTGCGCGCGTTTACCCGCCTCCAGTGGGCTTTCCATTTATGAGGCTCGCTCGAGGCCCCCGCCCGCGTGTGTGCCCTCCCGTCTCTCTCGCACTCGTGGGGCGCGCCGCGGGGGACTGGGGGTGCGAGAGAGAGGGAAGCTCTGCTCGGAGGAAGGCGGCGCAAAGCCCGGCATGATCCCGCCGCCCGGCCGTCCATCTCCGCCTGGCGTAGCCTGGCGCCCGTGCCGGCCGCCCTGGCGAGCTGGCAGCCACGATGCGCCGCCAACTGCCTTGCCACCCTGTCCGAGCTGGCAGCCACGATGCGCCGCCAACTGCCTTGCCACCCTGTCCGAGCTGGCAGCCACGATGCGCCGATGCGCCGCAAAGCGTCCTGGCCTCGGCGGCCGTCTTTCACAACAGATAAATAAAACATAAAATGCCATTTTCCGCATCGCCCTCCACGTGACAGCGCCGAGGATGTTCTCTTTTTCCCCTCGGTTTGTTTCGCTCTTTTATTTTGTGCCCCTCCCCGCCGCTCCCCCTCCCCCTTCTCGCCTCCCCCGAGTGCCGTCTGCGAGCCTGCGAATGGCGTGGGGTCCGGCGGACTCGTGTTTTGAGTTAATAATGCGGGATGGAGCGGCAATACGGAACGAAAGAGAGCACCAACGGGCGGGGCGGGGCCGGGCGGGGCGGGGCGGGTGGGCAAATACGGCACGTCGTTGATTGATTCCGTCCAAACGAGAGGAATTAGCTGAGAGGAACATTCCGTCGACGGCAGAGACACGCTTCATTTGTTTCAATAATTTTCGTTCTTCTTTACATAATTTCCAAATCATTTTAACACAATAAAATTAACAGAAATAAAATCAACATGATAAAGAAAATTTCAGCGGAGGGTTGGGGGACTGATGACTCTTCGCTCTCAGCCAAACGCCATACGCTCCAGGTGACGAACTCTGCTGCGCGCTGCTTGGTTCGTTAGTTTCGAGAAACAGCTTGCTGCGCAGAGTAGAGAGACCAGAACCAGAGGCCACGGGAGGATGGTCAGCCGGTGGAAAATGAAGTCACTTGTTTTGCTCCCTTGTCAATACGACCCAACCGCACGCACACGCACACGCGCCCCAACAAAGTCATAGAAACCTACCCCCCCCCTTTTCTCTCTCACACACACACACACACACACAAACACACACACACACACACACACACACACGGACAGACACATGCAAACACAAACGGCGGCGTCAAAGTGGATGCGGCAAACAGCCTGGCGTGATGATTATCGCATCATCCCCCCGTTGTCCGAGAGAACGGAGCGTGGTCGGCGACGACCAGATGACGACGGTCACTGGGTGGAAGTGCTGGAAATAAACAAAACGCCGGAAAAGAAAAAGTCCGCGCGCACAGTGGACGCGTTTCACCGCGCGCACTTTCCGCGTCGCTCTGTCTCGCTCGCACTGCGCAGAACAACCCGGAGGTGCGAGTGAGAGGGACAGAGCGAGGACATCCGCGGGGTGAAATTGTTCGGCAGAGTGAGAGGAGGCACACGGGTGGTGGCGAAGCGATCGCGATCTCGGAATGGAATTTGTTCAGCGGGAACGAACACACAACAGCCAAAAGCGCGCAGTAGCGTCCTGGTGGTCCTGGCGGCGTATGGCAATGAAACAATTTGGACGGCCGCACGCACTTCTGTTTTCCCAACCAGATTGTATTTGTCTGCCCAATCCGAATGAAGGGTACAGTGCGGAGCGCGGCGTGTGTGTGTGAGTGTGTGTGTGAGTGAGTGTGTGTGACCGCAAGGAAGGGGGCGGCCTGCAATATACTGCCGCCAGTAGCGGGAAGGGCGGGTGCGTAACGATCAAAGTAGAGTGCACTTTCCAACATTAGGCAAACAGAGAGACGAGGTTGACAGACAGTCAGACAGTCAGACGGACGGACAAAATAAAAAACTGACAGGCACACACAGAGAATACCATCATCTCCCTCCCTCTCTCAACCCGGCCGGCCCGACTCCGATTCCGAAAAGCCGTTATCTCTGTCTCTCTCACAATCACTACGGGCCTCTCCGTGAGTGCGACAGAGACAGAGAGATGAATCGACTCCTCCTTAAGACAGCTAGCTCCGCCTCGCCTCTGCTGCCTTGGCTTGGTCTCCTCGGCTTTGGCTCCGCATCCCCAGAGCGTGGAGCCCCCTGACGGCGGGCCTGCCCGCAAGACACGGCGGTGCGGCGGGCCGGCCTGCCGTCACGGCGCTAGAACCCCTCTGTCCTCTCAGTCCTCGGAGCAGCAGCCGGCCTGCCGCTGGCCCAGGACCAGGACCAAAACCAGATCCAGGCCCAGGAGCCCAACTGCAGGTCTCATCTCGCTGGGAGTTGGCCTCGAAGTTTGCCTCGCAAGTCATCCGAGTTCAGCCCGGCCCTGGGCCGGGCCGGTACCACGCACGCTGTGCCACGCTGCCGGCGTGGCTCAAGTCAGAGTTGGCGCCTCGGAGCTTATGTCTCGAGCTTACCGCGGCAGAGCGAGGCCCGAGCGAAGCGCTCACTCCGGACGCCAAGTTGGCTGTTCACCACGACGCGGCTCTGCAGGACGTTAAACCGCGCGGCGCCGCGAAGCAGCTGCCTGCTGCGGACAAGCACCGCCCGCTCGATCGTGGCCGCCTAGAAAACCGCCGCGACGGTGCATGGCGTCCACGTAGAGGTCGCGGAAGGGCCGGCCCGGTGCTCGGCGTCGACGTGGAGGTCGCGGAAGGGCCGGCCCGGTGCTCGGCGTCGACGTGGAGGTCGCGGAAGGGCCGTCCCGGTGCTCGGCGTCGACGTGGAGGTCGCGGAAGGGCCGGCCCGGTGCTCGGCGTCGACGTGGAGGTCGCGGAAGGGCCGGCCCGGTGCTCGGCGTCGACGTGGAGGTCGCGGAAGGGCCGGCCCGGTGCTCGGCGCCGACTGCCACTCGCTATCGCACCAACTGAGCGCCAGGGGCGTTGCAGGGCCCGGCATGCTCTCTGTCACGGCGGCCGTGGCGTGGCGCGGTGTAGTGCGGCGTGGCGTGGTGCGGCGCGGCGTGCCGTGACGCGTCGCAGGACCCAGGGAGGCCGAGGAGGCCGCCGTGTCAGAGATAGCTCGGCTCGCACCCCGCGAAGGCGCGGCCTGTCGATGCCCGTCTGGGCTAGGCCGGTCTCGGCTGCCCGTCGGGCTAGTCAGCCAGGCAGTCTTTGGCCTACATTGAGCGGCGGCCCGATAAGTGTGTTGCCGGTTCGATTTTTCCCGCGGGTACTTGCCTGCGGGCCAAGTGAGGCTGCCAAACGGGAAGGTTGTTTTGCTCTTGGCAATGTTTTCTCTGTTTACAAGGATCCAAGACAAATCGCCCCAGATACTACCTCGCCGCGGTTCAACTTTGGCCCAGTCCGTTTCAGCCCGGTCTCCACCCTGGTCCGAAGGCATTGTAGAAACTACAACTACAAATTTTTCTTCGTTGTTACGAAGCAGATCCTATTGAAGATCCTTAGGAAGCGATTTCTGCGTCTCCATCACCATCGATGGGCCGACGATAAAAAATGGTGCGCGTTGTATCCGCGGCATCGGATTGTTATTTATTTGTGCCTGGCTTTGTCCTTATCTCGAGCCTTATCTTCTGCACGCTCTGCCGCTCTGCCGCTCTGGCGCGGATGATTCTGATTCCGCAGGAACCATGCAGGAAGCGCACCGAAACGAGGAGATGCACGCCACGCCACGCCACGCCACGCCGGGGCGGGGCGGCCCAGAGTCGAGGTGCGAAGCATGGAACATGTTCCTCCGACAAAGTTCCTCTTTCCTCTTTTCTGGCAATCCATTATCCTGGCATGCGGGTCGCGCTGTCAGAACTTCTTGCTTCGAGAAACACCACAAAGGGAGCGCCTCCCGCGCTTCGAGAGGGCCGGCCGGCCGGCCAGCCAGGCAGCAGCCAGCCAGCACAGCGGCCCCACCTCGGTCCAGACCAGAACAACGCCGCGGGCCGGGCCGGGGCCGGGGGTGGAAACGTACCCCACGGCTGCCCCGATCAGAAGGGCCGAACCGAACCGTCTCTCCAAAACGAAATGACGGGCCCACCCCGCCCTGCCGCCCTGCCCTCCCTCCCTGCCCTGCCCCTACAAGACGACGCGGTGGAGGGTGGAGGAAGCCCCGTCGGAGCCAGGCAAAGACAGGGCACAGTAAAACTCGGCCCTGGAGCCTCCAGCAGCGTGCGCGGTAGTACCGTGAGGGTTTAGTTTCCGATCGGTTCGGGAAATTCCAGCGACATATTAATTTGTTTTACTGTGGACCCCAGTCCGGCGGCAAGGACACCCCGATGAAATGGTGTGGATTTGTGCTCGTAACGTGGTTTCAGATCGGAAATTCCGGCCTATGATCGATTTCGCGGCTCGTTTCACTCTAGGAGTTTCTGAAGTCCTGAAAGCGGGCGCATTCGCTACAAGCTTTCGGGTTCCACTTCACCAGCCGTCTCTCTCACACTCGTGGGGCGAGAGTGACAGAGCAACACAAACGACTCTCGGAATCAGACTTCTGGTAAGGCGCCCTGCAAAAACGTGAAGGTACAGGGCGCGTTCGGTGCGGCCAAGTCCGGTTTGTTTTTTGGACCGTGGCGGCCTGGCCGCGTGGCTCCAAAACACGGGCGTGGCGGCGCGGGGTGGGGGCGGGGCGCGGCGTGGGCGGCGGGGCGGCGGGGCGGCGGGGTGGCAGGGCGGCCAAGGAGAGAGGTTAGGTTCGAGAGCCACTTGCAGCGGGTCGCCCCCAGTCGCCCCCTCGCCCTCACGCTCCGATTTCCCTCCACCCAAACACGACACTGCTTTTGTCTCGTTAAGCTCGGCGCTCCGGCCGCTGAGAGGCGGAGGCGGGGGAGGTCCGCTGGGGGTCGCGCCGACGGGGTTGTTGATGTCGCCGAGCACGTACCTGCCTGCCGCCGTGCCCCGTCCAGCGGGACGTCCTAGGTGGCGTCCTGCGTGGTGTCCGGGCGGAGCGGTGGGGCTGCCTCGCGCGGCGGCATGGGTGCAGCTCGACGAGGCCGCGACGCTGGAGCAACGCGGCGCACCGCGACGCACCGCGACGCACCGCGCACGCTGGGAGACGCTGGCACCCCGCTGGCGTGCTGCGTGGTGGCGCCGCGACGCGGAGTCGCGACGAGCGAGCCTGGGTCCTGGTGCCCTGCGCGCTGCGCGGCTGCCTGGCCTCACTCCGCCGTCGCACCAGCACCGGCTGAGCCGAGGCGGCGGGGCGTGGGGCGTGCCGTGGTGCGGTGCCGTGGTGCGGTGCCGTACAGCGAGGGGTGGCGGCTGGCGGGGCGCGGCGCGTGGCGGGGCCTCTGGGGCTGCAATCGCGAGAGCTGGCCGCCGCTGCCACTGCCACCGCTGCCACTGCCGCCGCCGAACTCCAGCCAACGGGCGGAGCAGGCGGGCGGGCCGGAGGGAAAATCTATACCAGCCCGGCCAGCCCCCGCCACCCCCACACCACCGCGGCCCCCAGCCCCGCCACCCCAGGCCCGCGGCCAGCCCGGACCACCCCGCCGCCGGAGCCGCGACCACGGCCCCCCGGAGCCGCCGAGCCGCCCCTCTCCGCCGCGACAGTCACTTGTCGATCGATGCGCCGGAGTGGTGGTAACGCCCCGCACCGCCAGGGGGCGCTTCGCCTCGCAGCGACGCCGCGACCAGCGCGCCGAGACCCGCGACCCGCCGCGACAACCTGTAGCGCAGCGTCTCGGCGCTCGGCCGCCGCCGCGCCGGGCAGAGCGACCGCCGTGAGGGTAGGCAACCCATTCGACGCGGACGCCGACGGGCTTTGACTTGATCGGAGCAGTTCGAGTCCGGCGATCGACTCCCACCACTTCTTTACATTTTCCCCATAGAACCCAGCGGCCTAGATTGTAGAACCGTCACCCGTCGCCCTGATCGGGCGATCGATTCCCCGTAACACCGAGTATTAATTTGTCTATGGCTTTTCCAGTGCGGTTCAACTCGGCCACTTGATTTATGCTCCGCTTTCCAACTACTTCGCCATGCTTTCTGTGGTGGCCAAGAGGAGGCATCGGAACACGACCCTCGGGTTGCGCGATCGAATGCTCACACAGCTTTTCATATTTTGACTGGCTACCTCTCTGCGGCTTGAATCCGCTGCCCCGCCCGAACTACGGAACGGTCTATGGTGGCCGAGTGTGGAGAGACGTGTGTGCTCGTTACTCGGATTGGGGGATCGAATCCCAGCACTCACACATTTTTACTGGCTGAACCATTTGTGGTTCAAACCTGTGGCTTCAAGCACTCCGTTTCACCGGCCGATAGCCATGAGCCGTGGCGGCCGAGAGCGGAGCATCGGCGAGTCCCACCAGCAGGGTTCGGGGTTCGACACCCGACCGGTGGCGAATGTTTTTCTCAAGCTTGCATTCGCACAAAGGCGGTTCAAGTATACAAAATCGGCTGCCTTCATAGCCCAGTGATTCCGCTGCTGGGCAGGGTGACGCAGACTCCTGACTACATGGCCCCTGAGTGGGAAGGGGGCCGGGAACGAAACCCGACTACTGGGAAAGGTGGCAGCCTGGCCTACTATGAGAGGACTCCTCCACATCACAGATGACGTGACCAATGACGGGGCCACTGCGGTTTAACTCTGAGGTTGCTCCTGTGATGAGATGGGGCAACCACTGGCTCACCAAGCCAGCGGGGAAGAGGGCCGGTTCGCCGGGGTGCCCTCTTTCGCTGAAATTTTCTTTATCATGATGCTATTTGATTTTCCTTCACACTCGGCCTTCTAGCGCTATTTGTCCTTTTGGCCTGTTTCGCTCTTTTGGCGCGCTCCACCTTGGCCGGCGTGGCCACGGTCCGCCGCACCGCGTCTGCGCCGTGGCGCCGAGGAACCATACGGCCGTATCAAGAGACGCTCCGCCCCGCCGCGGAAACAGCAAGACTCCTGGCTTCCGGTCCAGCGGCCCTTCCGGTGGGCGCCTGCAGGGCCCTGCGCCGCCCTGCGCCGCCCTGCGCCCTGCGCGGCACGGCACGGCACGGCGTGGCCCTCGGCCGTCCCCCGGCCGTCCCTTCCGGCAACGCGACTGCGTCACCGCGAGTAGTGTAACTGCGACACCGCGGGCAGCGCGACGGAACTGGCGCATCAGCTCGACGAGGAGGTTGCAACCGGCGCCATCGCCCCTTATCTATTTCCACGTCTTCTGAACTGCGTGCTGCGCCATGCAGTGCAGGTCCTGCAGGACGACGCCGGTGACCGTGGCCGCACCAAATGGAGCGAGAGGCTGTCCAGTGGGCCATCCGGCCAGCCAGCACCCTGTCGGCACCCCGCCGTCAGGCCGTCGGTGACCTCGCCCGGCGGCCGGGTCCCCCCCTCCCCTCCCCGCGGCCCGCGCGCGAAGACAACAAACCACTGACCCCTCTCTTCTGCGTGCAGGCAGACCGTGCAGTCGTGCAGCCGAGGGCCCAGGGCCCCGGCCCCGGGCGCCCCGTTGGGCCGTTGGGCGAGGGGGGCGCTGGTGGAAGGGGGCGGCGTCGCCTGCGTCGCCGGCCGGTTGCCGCCGCCTTGCCGCCTTGCCGCCGACTCAGGCCGGGCCGCCGGGACGCGGGACGCGAGTCGGTGTGAAACCGGAGTCGAGAGCGCGTCGTTGTCCCTCCTTGGCGTGGCTCCGAGTCGCGTGCGCCGCGGACGCCGTCGAGCACCACGACGACGAAGACGAGGACGGCGCCGGCGAGCCTTACAGCGGCCCATCCCAGGCAACCCTTCGAGTGTCGCAGCGCATTCAACCGCACGAGGTGAGTGAGCCAACCTGTTGTTGATGGTGACGGTCTGCATGGCGCACCAAGTACGGCTCCTCCTCGACAAGGTGTCCGCCACGGGGAAGTTCCCTAAGTTTCGCACTTTGACGGATTTCCTTT